GGGACGAAACCCCTTAATAACAGTCAAAACTTAGACGAAACTATATTAAAATCATAATAAGGGATATGACGAAATCCATTCAATACGACGAAAGCCGAAACTTTTGAAACTATATTAAAAACATAGAAAAGGATATGACGAAATTATTTTGAGGAGGTTTCGGCAGGCATCTATATTTATGGTTGAATTTAAGTTCTAAATAGTTATGTCTGATTAGAGTCAATCAGTATCTATCAGCACCTATTTATGCTGATCGAAAATATGGCAAATCAGCTATAAATAGTATTAAAATTTGCCTAAAATCAGTCATCTAATTTTTAGTTGATTTGAACTATTTTGACTAGTGCCAAGCACATGATCTCTCAGAAAATATACTTAGAAAAATAGTTCTTCTCCTAATATTCTCTCTTTTGAACGCATTCATAACGCTTCTTCGTTCTATATTTACTACACCGCTGAGTTTTTCCTTCCTAGTAAATCAAATAAGAAAAAAATCAACTGTGTTTATGAGATGTTTAATAATATAGACTTTCCCTTCTTCATTGGTATATCAGTCAAATACAGTGGTCAAAAAAAGTAATCAGAAAAAAATACATCGCAATAAAATGTAAATTTCTCTCATATTATTAAGCTAATCAAGTTGAAATTTCACGTGATGACATATTGACCATAATAGTAAATGATTAATATATTTGTTTATTTATTTAGTTTTATCCGCCAAGTTTTTTTTTAGCAACCATAGCAAACGTTACACTTTAGCAATGTCATACAATTGTAAGCACTTTATGGAGCAATAGCGTCTATGATGCTAAAACTTTACACAAATTAACCTCTATCTTACGCTTTACGGTATATGACTATGTAAAAAAACTTAAAAATGGCAACACTTTAAACCCCTTACCTTGCTCTGGTAAACCAAAGAAACTTTCTCCTAAAAAACGTCATTTTCTTGGTCGTCTCATTTCAGTAAATAAATATTACACATGTACTGAACTTGCGAACATTTTGAATGAAAATTATACCAATCTCAACGTAACTGACCAGACTGTGCTTAATGAACTTAATAATCTTAATTACTTTAGTACTGTCCCAAAAACTATACCCTTGCTAACTGACTAACAAAAGCAGCGTAGGGTGAAGTTTGCTATGAAATACAAAAGACAAAATTGGAATAAGGTAGTTTTTTCTGATGAAACCACATTTCAGATGTTTCAAAATACTCAGACAGTCTTCCATAAAGTTGGTACACAGCCTCCACACAAACCTATGGTAAAACATTCATATAAAGTTCATGCATGGGGTGCCTTTTGAGCAAAAGGTCTAATTGGCTTTCTTCTTTTTACAGGAATAATGGATAGGTACTTTTACCAGAAATTTTGACAGAAAACCTATTTGAAAACGCAAATTCTATTATAGGAAGGTGCTGGGTATTCTAACAGGACAACAATCCGAAGCATACAGCCAAGAAAACTAAGAAACTTCTTTCAGAACGTTGTTCAAAGTTGTTGGATTAGCCTTCGAACAGTCCAGACCTCAACCTGATCGAAAATTTATGGTCAATTTTGAAGGGGTGTGTGGAGAAACAGGTTAACAAACTGATTCTTAAAAAAATCAGTTACTGTAGATGTTTTTTGTGAAATAATTCAAGAGGAATGGGAGGGAATTAAACCAGAACTTTTTCTTAATTTAGTTCGTAGTATGAAATCAAGGTTAGAACTAGTAATTAAGGGCGATAGTAATAAGATACTCTATTGAGTGTCCTTAAGTAAACTTATTTACAGGATCGTAAAGAACATGTGTACAAATTTTTATGCGTTCATGATGCTTATTTATCGTCTAATTAATAAAAACGTGATTCCAATTACTTTTTTCGATCACTGTAAGACCCTGCAAACAAAATGCTTAAGATTGTCTGATTTGGATTCTCCATGAGTTTAGATGTTGATAAAGCAATTCACGCCAAATTTTCAGAAATAGCAGACTTAAAATTAAAACCCTTTGAACGTCCTACCTTATTTAGGTTTAATTTCAAATTAGCAATCAAGATAACAGAGATCCTCATATTAACCTCTGAGCATATAATTCAATTGATATTTGCTAAATACAGAACTATTTTACGATGTTCTATAATTACTAAGAACTTGTGGCAATAAGCTACCATCTTCTTTGCAGAAGGTACTAATATGACTGTTTTCAATAATATCAAAGGCCATTTTATTCTCAAAGACCTTGTTCGTATATATCTTTATACAACCACAGCTAAAGAAATCCAACTTCATTCAAATTTACCCTCAAACTCACCAACTTATCTAAGGACATCTCCAGCTATAAACTTGAACCCATTGCTAAAGCTGTAAACGCAATGATCTAGATAATTTCTAAAACCTATTCAAACTATTGCAATCTCCAATATACTTTCATTCATTTCGTATTAGAATGCTGCAGTTAATGGAAATCAAATAGTTTTAAATGATAAATGACTCAACCTAATACTAATTTTGTACATACTATACTACGTCTGGACATAATTCTCACTTCTATTGAAAAAAATGTGCTACGCCTTATGATCGTTAAACACAAAATTTATATCAAAGATTCAAACCCATTCAATTTAAAATTATTCCGCTCCCTTTAAACCAATTAGACCCATCTTTGCCAAAAATGATGAGCGCGTATTTGATTCTAAGAATTCCAAATCATTTGCCAACAAAACTTATTCTATCAAATCTCTTGCTGACAAATCTCCTATCATTCCTATCCACTCTAAACCCCTACTTAACTACAACAAACCTTATAACTCATCCTTAAATGATTCAATTTATGCTAATAAATCCTGATCAAACCAAGTAGAAGATAATTATCTGTCACTAAAATAACAGAAAGATAATCAAACCAACTGGAAACCATCTGACACTACAAATATCATGTTCAAACTAGATGCGCTCACAAAAACTCTCGCTAAAATCTATAATGATCTCACATTTACAGTTCATTGTATTGATACTGTTAAATGTCATCTAAATATCTTCACTCTCATCCCTGAAAAGGTTGCAAAACTAAATGCTATCAATAAAGGCAAAGGGAAAGCCAACATAGAAACTGACGAATCCCAATATGAAGAGAGAATAGATACTTCTGAATCTAAAATCAAAGAATATGAAAATAAAATTAAATGGCTTGCTTAAGAAAATAAAGAGCTATGTCTAAACAACAAACAAAACATTGAAAAACTTAATACTGCACTCAAAGTGGTAGCTCACATTCAAAAATTCATATATGAAAAAACTAACAAATTACTCAGCATACCTATTCCTTAATTAATTAAACTAGGTGTCATATGGATTAATGATGATGGCTCTAGCTTTGCCTACCTTGACCTTTTTTTTAATCAATTTATATGAATTTAATAACTAATCATATCAATCACAAATATACTTCTACTTTCTTTAATATTGTAATCCATAATACTCATTTCTTATTAGACCTACTCAAATAATAAATTTTATTTAATCTTTACTCTATAAATCATTTAGATATTATTGTATTATAAGAAACAAATTTTATTACATCATTTCATTATTTTCCTCTAAAAAAAAATTGTAATAACAATTTTGTACCATTCTTTTCTATTGACTTAGATACCTGATACTTTAGTTTTAGCGTAGGATTTTTAGTTAAAAAATACCTTGCTGACCATATTTTCTACCATTCATCTTACTTTAATTGAATTTTTTGTCTTGACTTTTAATTCAAAAACAAAAACAAATTCCTTATTATTAACATTTACCTGTCTAGTTCTAATGAATCTCTTCATTTAAAAATAATTTAACAGATGCGTATTATTATAGACAAAGCTATTCATGCTAACTTTTTTCTTATTATTTTAGATTATTTTAATATTGACTCATCTAAATCTCACAACCCCTCACATTCGCAATGATTTATAGATCACATGACTAATAATAATTTTGTCAATACCTATAATTTTATCAAATCAATCATAAATATTAATGATCTTCATACATATGTTCAGGGTTCTTCACAGTTAATGATCAATCATATTTTTTTTACTCCATCCCTACTTTCTGATTTCAATAACTATCAAGTTATTCCTATAGATACTTCGATTTTAAACCATTATATAGTATCTGCTTCTATTGCCTTTACTTCTATCAATCCAAGTTTCAACAATATATTAATGATGAAAAAACTTGTTTTCCTTTATCACGACATGTCAGACAAAGATTGGTCTGCCTTTGCTGATGCTGTTAATGCTTGATGTAATAACTCAAGACTGGCTTCCATTGACTTAGATAATTTTTCTAATGTCAATAAAGTTAATTTCATTTGGAATCTTCTCTAAAAAACCATCATAGACACAGCTATGAAACATATTTCTAACAAATACATCTCTCATATAGATGCCTGCCGAAACCTCCTCAAAATAATTTCGTCATACCCTTTTCTATGTATTTAATATAGTTTCGACAGTTTCGGCTTTCGTTATATCGAAAGGATTTCGTCATATCCCTTATTATGATTTTAATATAGTTTCGTCTAAGTTTTGACTGTTATTAAGGGGTTTCGTCCC